AGGACTGGGAAGTTTGCATGTGACTTCAAACCCCTTCTGGATTTCTTCTTCTTCTGCTTCTCCCACCACAAAAAGCCTTTTAAAATTCCCAAAAAAACCCTCATGGAAAGACATCAAGGTTCTTACTGGACAAACTCTGACGAACCATTGGCTTCCTTCCCTGTAAACTGCCATGGCTATTCCCTTGGTGAGGACTTCATCCACGTAGAAACTAACTGCATCTCCCACTTTTACTGGAACCACCTCCTCCACATCCACCTTTGCCTTCTGTTTCCCATAATCCTTATCCAAAGTGGGAAGAAACTGGATTTTGCTGAAGGGCAGGAAGATCCCACAGTTGGCTTTGCACTTGAAGTACTCAACGCTGTGGTAAGATCCATCACTTCTCCCTCTGTTTTCTCCCTCACCCTGAAAAACATTCCAAAAGCAAAGGATATCACAACCCACACAAACACCCTGGAAAAATCATCCCAACTTACCCTTCCTTACCTGTAATTCCACCCCAAAAAACACTGGAGCCAACACAGCCGAGGTGGATTGGTAGATACTCCCAACATAACGGATGATACCTGGGAAGAACTTCCTATCCACTTCCACCATCACATCCCGACCTGGCACGGCTTGGAGAGCTGCCTCAAGGCTCAGCCTTTCCAAGAAGAAATCCAACCTTTCCTGGTGGCTGCTGATGGCCAGGAGGAATCCTGCTGCCTCTTCCCGGATGGGCTGGAGCATCTCCATGTTGATGGTGATGGTGGAGTTGTCATCCAACATGAAAACCTTGAGGAAACAAGCTGAGGGTCCAGTGTCGGAGAAGCTCCGGAGGTAACTCCTCTCGCTGCAGCAGCACATATTCCCAGCTTGGAAGTATTTGCTTCCATAGGCACAGTCCTCAGTCAGGATGTAGTAGCAGTTTCCATCCGTTGCTGAAGGAAGGAGGTTGGTCATGGTTGTGTCCTTGGGTTGGGAGAAACATCAGAGTCACAGCCAGGAAGGGTCAGCACAGGATTCCCCAAGAATCCCAAGTTGGAAGAGTGTTGGACCCAACTCCATGCTCAAAGCTGTTGCTCAAACCTCACCTAGGTGAGTTTGGAGCATCTCCACTACCACAGATCCCAATGTTTCCCTGATCCCTTGTTCAACCACCCAAAGAGTGGTGAAAAATTCCATCTAGCCACTGGAGCATCTCCACCACCACAGATCCCAAAGTTTCCCTGATCCCTTGTTCAACCACCTGAAGAGTGGTGAAAAATTCCATCTAGCCAAACTTTCCCAGGTTTCTCCTCACCCTCTCATGAAGACTTGTTCCCTTCACCCATGGAAAGAATCCAGCTCAGCCTCCTCCCAGAAGGAGGAGCATGGAATCATGGAATGGGTTGGGAAGGACCTTAAGGATCACCTAGTCCAACCTCTGTCATGGGCAGGGACACTTTCCACTCATCCTGGTTGCTCCAAGCTCCATCCAACCAGGCCTGGAAAACTTCCAAGCTCCATCCAACCTGGCCTGGAAAACCTCCAGGGCTGGATGTGTCTGTCAGGGCTTGTCCAACCTGTCCAAACACTCTCCAACCTCATTAAATTCCCCATTTTCCTTCCCTACTTATTCCCAGGAGTGAGGCAAAGGCTAAATTCTGCCTTTCAAAATCCCTGGAAAAGGGAACACGAACATTCCAAACACAGAGCTGTGCTGAGGAACTCCAGCTTGGAAAACTTAAGGTGTGAAAGGAAATGGAAATGTTTGGGATCAGGAGTAGGTTTTGGGTCTTGTTTCCTGGTTCAGTTTTGGTAGTGAAATTCCTGTGGTCAAAACTCTTGAAATTTGGGAAGTTAACTACTGGAATTTTAGTAGTTCGATCCAACTGGTAGAATTCCAGGAGTTAAATTCTGGGAGTCAAAATTTAACTACTTGAAATTTCAGGAGTTAGGTTCTGAGAGTTAAGTTCAGCTCCTAGAAATGTGGGAGTTAAATTCTGGGAGTTAAAATCCTGACAGTTAAAATTCTGGGATATGAGGTAAAATTCTGGGAGATAAAATTCTGGGAGATAAAATTCTGGGAGATGAGATCCTGGGAGTTAAAATCCTAGGAGTTAAAATCCTGAGAGATGAGATAAAATTCCAGGAGATGAAATAAAATTCTGGGAGATGAGATCCTGGGAGTTAAAATCCCAGGAGTTAAAATCCTGAGAGTTAAAATCCTGGGAGATGAGATAAAATTCTGGGAGTTAAAATTCTGGGAGATAAAATTCTGGAAGATGAGATCCTGGGAGTTAAAATCCTAGGAGTTAAAATTCTGGGAGACAAAAATCTGGGAGATAAAATTCTGAGAGTTAAAATTCTAGGAGATGAGTTAAAATCCTGGGAGATGAGATAAAATTCTGGGAAATGAAATAAAATTCTGAGAGATGAGATCCTGGGACTTAAAATCCTGGGAGTTAAAATTCTGGGAGATGAGATAAAATCCTGGGTGACAAAAATTTGGGAGGTAAAATTCTGGGAGATGAGATAAAATCCTGGGAGTTAAAATTCTTGGGGATAAAATCCTGGGGGACAAAATCTTGGGACTTAAACCCTGGCACTCCGCTTTAACTCCCAGAATTCCAGCAGTGAAATCCTACCAGGCACCTCCCCCAAATCCCCAGGAACAAACTATTCCATCAACAAAACTCCAGGACAAACTTTTCCCTCCCCAAACCACCGGGAGCAATCCCTTCCCATTCCCAGGCACAGCGTGGGGGGTGAGCAGGGAAAGCGACAGGTTCTCCCGGTTCCTGGCAGGGAATCCCATCCCAATCCCAATT